AGACAGAATGATGCTTAGAGGCCACAGTCTTGAGGTAAACGAAGTTTGGATTTGACATTCCAATCCAAGTTATCACTACAAAATAAAAAAGTAAAGACTGCTTTCTCAGTGCAAAACAGTATCAATTATGATGTGCTAAAAGATGATAAAATTATAGGAAAGGAAAAATGTAAATTAAAAATGTAAAAGCTGCATAAGAAAAAACTGATAATTTGTCATTATGCTTAAAAGTGTAAAGATATATATCAGCTATTCTAAACCAGCTGTCCCCACATTTACAGCTAATAACCCACAAAAAAAACAAATTAAAAAATAAAGTGGCTGACCAGCAACTTTGACTAATTTTGATTGATACCTAAACATTAACAGTAAATACAGTAAAAAGACACGATGGCAGCATTATTACAAAGTTACATGTAGCACATGCAAACCTAGTGTCTCTGTCCAGGCTTATAATCTGGTGCACAAAAAAACCCCAAGGTCCTTTGGAGGTTAGAGTGGGGCCTTGACACAGACATAAGTGTTGCATCTAAAATATAACAACATCATTTGTTTGGTGTGTGTTGTTGTGRTAATGTGTGTCATTAATGGTCACTCTGATGCGACTTTAATCTTGAACTGTTTCAAGATGTCCACCCTGACCCATTTTCAAAGAGTAGCRYGTGCATGTCTGTGGAGGAACCTGGACAAAATGTGGTGGGAAGAAAAGCATATTACAATTTTCCTAGTTTTACTCTCATTGCTGGATCTAAAATGTAATTTAGTAGAGATGGAACAAATTGGCCCCCTAACAACTTTAGTGTACAGAAAAGTGTAGCACACATACAAGAGCATAATTTAAAAATATACATCTTTTCATTTGTATTTTGTTTTGAGTCATTTTAGGACAAGTCATCAAATTCCAGGTGAATAGAACAACATTTAAGGTACAAATTTGACCTGTAAAGGTAAAGACCTCCRYGTCTTRATGTCCTCCATGATGTATCATACTGACGTAATACAGAGCCATATAAATCAATAAACACCCCTTTATGCCAACAAGGAGACAGCTGAAGGATGGAGATATCAGTTTTCCTTATTGGCCTGAGACTGGCTRTGGGATGGTTTGAGATGAACTCAGTTATCGGCTTGGGTGGGTCTGTGGACAGTCTCAKACAACGGACTGGACTCTCAGAAGATGGGGAAACTGAAGCTTTATCTTTGAAGTGTACCCTGCAGGGTACTACTCGTTCACCTGCTTTCACTATGGATGGGGACTATATTATTGGGGGAGCTTTTTCCATTCATTTCAAAGAGCAGACAAAGATTTATAACTACACCAACTTGCCTGAGCCATCCAGCTGCACAGGGAGGTTAGTATGGKAAGGTGGTGGGAAAAGCACAGAATGTTAGARTGGACCAAAAAAACYTTTCTACATTGTACATTTACACAAAGAAGAAGTTTGTTTAAAAGCTAAATTACTATTTAAACAAGTTTTGATTGTTGCACAAGTGTTTATTTTTAATCAAAAATGTCTAATCTATCAGATTATTTGCATATTTGCGCAGAACAATTCTTACATTTTACCTATTTTTCACTCAAAAGTAACTTTTTATATTTTGAATTGATGTCTTACTTTCACCTTTATTAACATGCTTAACAAAGTGTATCTTTTGATAAAATATATTTTGAATTAAAAAAATAAAGTGACATAATGCTTCAAACTGTTATATTGTAAATGTTTGTGTGCAGTGTTAACAGTCGTGAGCTACGCTTCTCTCGAGCTATGATCTTTGCCCTTGAGGAGATAAACAACAGCACAGAGCTGCTGCCGGGCATCAAACTTGGATATCAGATCTTTGATTCGTGTGCCTCCGTGCCTGTAGCCATACATGTAGCGTTTCAGGTAACAAATGGAGTGGACCCTGTGTTCTACAAAGGCAGTAATTGTTCCCAATCTGGTATTGTGATGGCTGTTGTTGGAGAGTCTGGATCCTCACCATCCATCAGCATGTCACGCATCATCGGGTCCTTCAYCATCCCTCAAGTAGATGAGCTGACCTTATTGCAACATTAGTTTACAAAAATAAATAATTGAATGTGTCTGTTATGCTACAAAGTTAAATTAATTTACTCATGCTAGCTTTTTCCTTTTTTTTCTTATAAAGGTGAGCCACTTTGCTACCTGTGCCTGTCTGTCAGATAAGCAACAGTTTCCAAGCTTTTTCAGAACYATTCCCAGTGATCAGTTCCAYGCTGATGCTCTGGCCAAGCTGGTGAAACACTTCGGCTGGACTTGGATCGGTGCTGTTCGCTCTGACTCGGATTATGGAAATAACGGCATGGGGTCTTTTCTTGCTGCAGCACAGAGGGAGGGAATCTGTGTGGAGTACTCTGAATCCTTCTATCGAACCGACCCAAGTAGCAAAATCCAGAGTGTGGCTGAAGTTATTCGCAGGTTTCTAATTCATTGATTTTGACTGTGTATCTTTCTCAGAACAGTGACTTCAATAGTGTTCAAAATTTAGCAAAAATGCTACATACATTTATTTTTGGATAATTGATTAAATTGTTTCTTCAGGTCATCAGCAGTGGTTATTGTGGCCTTTGTAGCATCTGGAGACATGAAGTTCCTGTTAGAGGAGCTGGCTCGGGACCCTCCACCACCTCGTCAGTGGATAGGAAGTGAGTCCTGGGTATCTGACCCAAACCTGATGAAGTTCAGTTTCTGTGCAGGAGCCATTGGAGTTGCCATTCAYCAATCWGTSATCCCAGGTCTYAGKGACTTRCTGCTGGATCTCTCTCCCACTGAAGTAGCTGCCTCCTCAATCCTGACTGAGTTCTGGGAGGATGCATTCAACTGCACACTTACAGAAAGTGAGACACTTTTTGAAACAAACATAAATGTGGTAATGAAAAAACGTGAACTGAATTCAAAAATTATATTTACATTTTATTTGGATTATATTAAAACAGTTCACATTCTAAACTTAAAACAATGTAAACATTTTATAAATGTTCTCTAGAAGTAGCTCATGCCATTCACAGTGTAGTCATTTTCAAATGAAGTATACATTTACTGTACCAATGACCATAATGTCAGACTTTTTTTGTTAGCTTTTTCTGATTTGTATGTATGATTTTTATTTATGAAATGTATAAAAACCTATATATTAAAAATAATCTAACTTCATGGGATGAAAACGCTTTCTTTTTTGTGTATTTAGGTGCTGAAACAAAAAGGCTGTGTGATGGAAAAGAAGACATKAAGATGCTCAACATTTCCTACACTGAAACATCAGACTTTAGAATTACTAACATGGTGTACAAGGCTGTTTATACAATAGCTCATGCCATTCACAAAATGGTGTGTTATACAACAAACGCTACCACTCAGTGTGAAAAATGGGCAAAGTTAGAGTTGAAGCAGGTCAGTACAAATTAAATAAGAATCATTATCTGTGTCTATGCATGACATACTTGAAAAAAATACTTTACTTTTTGTAAATTATATTGTTTACATTGTCTACTCTTTTATTTCTTGCTTGCTTTTGAAATGTTTTTAGATTGTTGCCACACTAAAAACAGTCAACTTTTCCCAAAATGGTTATCCTGTGTCTTTTGATGTCAATGGGGATCCTGTAGCTTTTTATGAGCTGGTCAACTGGCAAAGAAAAGAGAGTGGAAWAATCGAGCTGGTAACAGTAGGATACTATGATGCATCACTGCCAAAAGGCCAGGAGTTTAGGATTAGTAAGAATCTTAACTGGGTGGAGAATGGAACACAAGTAAAGAGCCTAAAAACTAAAAATCTAAATTATACTTTTGTAAAATGGTTCACAACTGTTATAAAAACATTTTATTTACTTTGTTTCTTTTACAGCCTCCAGTGTCAGTGTGCTCTGAGAGTTGTCATCCAGGAACTCGTAAAGTGTTGCAGAAAGGAAAACCCATCTGCTGCTATGATTGTATACCATGTCCTGAAGGAGAGATCAGTAACATGACAGGTAACCAATATATTTTCCTGGCCCTTTTGGAATATTAAGAAATAATTGCAAARAGCCATTTGATTTATTTATTTATTTTGTTTTAGAGTCTCTCGATTGTGTCCCATGCCCTATTGAATTCTGGCCCAATGCTGAAAGAAATGTTTGTTTTCCCAAACCTGTCGAATTTCTGTCTTTTGATGAAGTCCTGGCAATCATCCTGGCTGCATTAACTGTTATTGGAGCCTGTCTGACCATCATAACAGCAGCTATTTTCTTTTGTCACAGAACAACTCCAATTGTCAGAGCCAACAATTCTGAGCTGAGCTTCTTGTTGCTCTTCTCTCTGACTCTGTGTTTCTTATGTTCATTAACTTTCATTGGAGCTCCCTCTGAGTGGTCCTGCATGCTGAGACACACAGCGTTTGGTATCACCTTTGTTCTCTGTATCTC